AGAATAGAGGAATTTGCACTGGGATCCTGAAATTTTACATTATTATTTGTGCAGTCATCACATGGAAATGCTTCTACAGAAAGCTACCCAGAAAGCGAATCACGCTCATCATGACCTCGTATTGAACCAAAAGCAGGCTCCTATATTATTCTCAGATATATTCAGCAAGCAAAGATACACCAGGTACTCACTTGTGGCTACAGGTTAATTTTGAAAGGTTTTCTGCACTTTTAATGTGAAGCGCATGCGTCTGACTCAAGAGAATATGCTCAAGATGAGCCTCTAAACTCGTGAACCAGGAGGACACGGTTGCGCATTCTGTGTCCCTAAAATTTATTTACTGGTTGCTGAGACATTACGTTTGAACGAAAAATAAACTCAATTATCAGTGGTATAACAAAAATTCTAATATAATAAGGTGCATCTCCAATAGCACTTTTATTTTGGATGCAACATGGGAATACATAACTCTGGGTGAAAGTCCATCTCCTCCTTTAAATGGACTCTTCAATGCAGGCTTTAAAAAAAATCCCATAGTTTAGTGTTTCCTTTCAGAAATCACCATTTAGGACTATACCTGCAAGCCTAAGAATCTAAAGTTAAGAATAAAGATTCAAATTTGGTATCCTCCCCCTCTCCCTTTCTGTGCAACATTTGGTGCCGGTTACATATACGTATATATATATCTCGACCTATTTGCAGAAAAAGAAGAATTTAAAACCACGTTCCCCCTCCCGCCGCCCCTACAAAAGACACTTCAGGTATGTAAGGTTGCTACACAAGGATGGGAGTCATGCAGGGTTGTTTTTACGCTGCTTACAAAGCAACAGACGGTTTCAGCTGAGCGCGTCTTGCTAGCAGGTGACAAAAAATGAAAGCGTGATACCTACATCGTAATGAAGGACAACTGCAGTGGAAGGAAAGGGATTTCCTTCCTTTTTAGCGATTGACTGGCAAATTGATCAATCCAGCAAGCCAACTGTGCTCCCAAATTGAGCTGCAAACAAGGAACATGGGAGGGTGATGTCAATGAGATAGAAGGATCTTCCTCTGGGTTTTGGTCTGAACTTCGAAGGATGTACCAACAGCGCCAAGCCCTATCCTTGACACGGGCTAAGGAATTTGGCAAGAGTGTAATCGTGTGTAACTCCTTGAGAGAGTCCGGCTAAAACCCAAAATGCATTCCCCACTTCTCCAACATAGGGGTCCACTAGCTTTGGTTGGTTGCCCAGCACCAGAAATGTATAAAATGACAGTCACCCAACAGTAGTATCCTACTCTTCCTCTTACGACATGAGATGGGGCTCTAAATATCTCTAAAAATGATGCAAAAGGAGTGAAGATGGCTCTTGCTCTCCCCTCCAAGGACACTCAAAGAAGAGGCGAGGAAGTCACTCATAGGACAGCAGACTTCTGAATTATAGACCTTGATGTTGCAAGTTGGCCATGGACCTTGTAGCCAGGTCTCAGCGAGGCGAACCGAAACACGGTAGGACAGCTGAATGTGTCTCCCACTCCCAGCCGAACCAAAGGGTCTTCAAACCCAACCATGTAGGGTCTTCAAACCCAACCATGTAGGGTCTTCAAACCCAACCATGTAGGGACTTCAAACCCAACCATGTAGGGTCTTCAAACCCAACCATGTAGGGTTTTCAAACCCAACCATGTAGGGATCCATCATCAGATGTTTCTCCATAGGAGTCACATATGAGGGAGAACATAGAAAAACGTCACAATTTCTGGTAGAGAGAATCCAATGATTGGGAAGGCATTTTTTGTGGATCCTTTCAAGGGGTCTTTTATAGGCACCCTGTTCAATGAAACAGCACTACACACAAATTCTTATATTTACGTGGGCAACCTCTTTACCTTAAGGAGAATTGGGTTTCTACATGCCTTGATTCGCCAACCTGAACAGGCAGGGGAATGATCGCGACGTCAGAAAGGCTATATTTGGGTGAAAATCCCCATGTGCAAACAAGAACTAATCTCTTAAAAACAGCCGAAAATATTATTGCTTTTTTCTCTCCTTTTCACCAAATCATCTTTAAACGTACAAGCGTGTCTACTTGGACAATATCGTTATAAATCCATGTCATTAAAAATTTCTTTTAAAAGACATTCAATCCTCTCTAATATATATATATACAATCCAAGACATGAAGCTTTAGCGATCGGTCAACTTGTGCTAATTTGCAGGGTGAAAACCTTGGTTGGGAAGCCACACATCTCCCAAATCTGATTTATGGAGATAAAGAGATGGAATATATGAAAATAATAATAAAGGAAATGTTCCTTAATTGAAAATCAAGAACAATTAATATTCTTTTAAGAGGCAGACTGCACAAACAGGGCATGTGTATGCTCCCAACATTCAGGATTTGTGGAAATGGGATGTTTACCAAGTGTTTCCAGCACTCGGAAACCGCTTTTAATCGCTACTGCTCCAACTCACAGTCCTGGGATTTGTAGTTTGGTGAGACTCTTGCAATTATCTGCCATGCTTGCATCTATTGCAGGCATGGGCAAACTTCGGCCCTCCAGGTGTTTTGGACTTCAACTCCCACAATTCCTAACAGCCGGTAGGCTGTTAGGAATTGTGGGAGTTGAAGTCCAAAACACCTGGAGGGCCGAAGTTTGCCCATGCCTGATCTACAGAGATATAATCTTCCCTCTCTGGACAGGAAAGGCACAAATTCCCAAAACAATGACCATCTTCTGCTTGTGCAAAGTTACTAAAGCACCCAGGATTTCACAGAAATGTATAGTTTGGGAGAGTGAGGTTAAGGGGCTCATGGAAAGCTTTTGATTTTGATTCACTTTTTCCAAGGGAGAGGTTTGAATTGTCTGGGAAATATAAAGCCTTCCTTAACCTTGAACAAAAAGTTGTCAAGGAAAAAAAAGATAGCAACTGATCCAAATGGCATCGTTCAACCTAAAGACCGAGCCGTTTAGAAACTCCAACGGTATATAATTGAGGATCAAATCAGAAAGTGGCAACGTCTTACTTTTATCTGTTTTATGAGAAGCAGTTTAATGCTTGTTAATATAACTATTTCCAGCGGATACATCAAGTTTTCAAAAGAACAGCTCTTCCGTCTTTGGTGAAACAAAGGCTGCCGCAAAGTTCGGAGTCGCAAACACCGTCAAAAGTGTAATGAAGGCGAGAAAACTCCCAGGTCAACGCTCGTCTAACATTGACTTCTGTGTCATTCTGTCCTAGAGAAATTTAAGTTTCAAATAAAATTCTTGAGTTTTTTCTTTAGACCATTAAAAAACACCACCTTTAAAAAATGTTCCTGTACAAAATGAATGATTTATGAAATCCCATTGGTCTATAAAGAGATCTATTCTCCTTTGGATGGAGGTTAAAAAAAATGTACATCATGGATCTGAAAAAAGCCGAGCTAAGAAAGAAACTGAAGCCAATCCAAAGAGGCCGGCAAGATGATTATCGCTTGAGCTATGAAAAAAACATACATATTCTTCTTTTAAATACTTTAACCGTTCAAGTAATTGAATAAAAACTGCTTTTTCCCATCTTGAAATATATACATACATAGATAGATAGGGGTGGGGAGTAATATATTTGCTTCCAGATGATTATATTTGCAGCATGGTTCGAGACATGCATTTCAAAGGACTGAGTCCTAAATAAAGGATGTTTGAGGCAGCAGAAATGTCATGAAATGTCCCCCATTTGCCACCTTCGGTGTGAAAACTGGCTGCCATGTCTGCATTGGAATATCCATGGCTGAGGAGGAGAACTAAGGGTTTTCTTTCCCAAAGATATACCACAAGAGGTTATTGATTCTCAGCGCTGACCTGGCATGGTATTCAGTGTCTGGCCATTCTGAAAATCTGGGCCTCACTAAACAAGACATGCTTTCCTTTCAGACATAATCTTGGTTCTGGGTTCCTGCTCTTGCCCTGGAACCAGAGTCAAGTCCAAAATAGGAAGAAACTGGTCAAAAGAACGGAAATGAGGAACTTGTCTGGTACGTCTCCAGCCACAAAACTCCTAGACCAAGGGAAAAGCTACCGTGTTTCTCAAAAAATAAAAACATTGGATTTATTTAAGGCCCAAAGCTGTTTCAAGACAATATATATATATTTTTTTAAACAAACGGACAACCAGACAAACAAATCATATTAGCCACGCATGCGCATACTCTCGGCTGTGGTATCAGAGGTAGGCCTTTGGTATTTGCTTGTCGGAGTAAGACTCTCTCTCTTTCTCTCTTTCTCTTTAAAACTCAGCTATCACAATTCCCAGCCCAGAAGAGTTCGGAAAAAAGTGCAATCGACAACCCCTTTCTACACAAGGGAACCCTCACAACCCATTTGAAAAACAAAACAAAAAATAAACCAGCAACGAAGTTCCCCCGTCTCAAAGCAGCTTCCTCACAAAGGAGATGATTGGCATTACGAACGCCATGAAAAAAGGAAAAAAAATATATCGAGGGAAATAAAAACAAATCAAATTTGACCAGTTCACTGGTCTGGTCACAGCATATTTCACTGGTGCTCCTTAAAAATCCACAAGCCGTCTGAAGCCTTGCTAAAAAAATCTTCCCAACTGAGAAATATTTGGAAACAGATGTTCTGAATGGCTTGATTACAATAATAATAATAATAATACATTGACAGCCGTTTTTGGAATAGCTATTGCAACATGCAAGAACAATAATAATAATACCAGTTGCACCAAAAAATGGAATCCAGACTCCTGTTCAAAACGAGGAGGAATAAGAAGTATTACTGATGTTCACTTATTATTGCATCAATGGTCAAATACAAAATTTGATCAATGTCGTTGACTCTCCTACAATAGCTGCAAAGGTCCAAAAAGATCAGACCAAAAGGAAGCAATAGCTGCAGCCGGAATTGCTCCCCGTCACTACAATCGACATGACTGCCATTATTTTGTGTCGTTGGTTAAAGAGATAATCTGAAATTCTAGACAAAAAAATAATGCTGTGACGGTTTGAAAAACAAATCCATGTGCAAGGAAAAAGTTTTCTGCCTACTGATAAAATTCACCTTGGAAACCCAAGTGCATTTCCATTAAAAATACCTCTAAGAAAGATGATTTTTTTTCTGGATTGTAGAGAAAGCAATCAGCATCAAAGCTACCTAATTCAAGGCTACTCTAGCGCTATGGAATTTCAGCTACGTTTTTGCATGAAGAACCATTTTAATCCATTGCCGCGTGTCAGACAGCAATGATGTCTCTTGAAAGTTCAGATTATTATTATTTTTTTTTTGCTTTTGACAAGGTTCCGATTCATGCACCTGAATTGCTTGGAATGTGTGCGAATGATGGCAATCTGTTCAAACGGTGGATTCATTTTCCACTTCTGGCGCGGCGGCGGATTCTTTCCGAGAGAGCTTGATCACGGTCGGTTTCTCCTCGTCGGTGCCGTTGCTTTCGATAGCGTTGGGAGGCGGGGCCAGGCCCTTCTGCTCTTCCTTCGAACCTTCTCCGACGTCCGGGTAAATCACCAAAAACGTGGCTGTCAGGAAGCCCAAGAAAGAGCCCACCGAGGCCACCATCGGAATGACCCGGACGCTGCCCACGGCATCCACGACCCCTCCGAGGGCAGAGGCCACCAGGATCTGGGAGATGTAGACCTGGCAGGACAAGATGGCGCAGTCGATGCCAAAGCCCCGCTTGGAGTTCCCAGGACTATGGTGGATATACTGAAAGGGAGAAAGGAGAAGCTGAAAATCTCAAAGCAAGGCATGCCGGCTCATTTGAGCCCTTAATAGTACAATAGACTGGTGTTGGGCTATGTTTCTACAGCCAGAAGCAGAATGGGAATGTCATAGAATCATAGAATCAAAGAGTTGGAAGAGACCTCATGGGCCATCCAGTCCAACCCCATTCTGCCAAGAAGCAGGAATATTGCATTCAAATCACCCCTGACAGATGGCCATCCAGCCTCTGCTTAAAAGCTTCCAAAGAAGGAGCCTCCACCACACTCCGGGGCAGAGAGTTCCACTGCTGAACGGCTCTCACAGTCAGGAAGTTCCTCCTCATGTTCAGATGGAATCTCCTCTCTTGTAGTTTGAACTGTCAGCTCTAAAGTCTCTCTCAAATATGATACAAACTATTTGGGAAAATAACCAGATGCTTCTCTGACTCTTTTTTCCAATTCTCTGGCAATATCCCCTTCCCACTAAGTTGTTTTTTATTAATTGTATACCACTCTAACAACCACCATGTCAGACTACACAGAGAAGCCACTGAAATCCACAAGCATGTGGATAATTTAAACAGAAAGGAGGAAACCATGAAAATGAACAAAATCTAGCTAACAGTATTTTTTAAAAAAATCTAAAATTAGGACAATAAATAAAGAACAACACTCAGAAAACTGGGGACTTCCAGACAATCTGGGCCAGCTAACATCACCCAACCAAGGATTCCCCAGCCTTTGAAGCTGTAAGGCCATTAGATGCTAATCAAGGTGGCCAATTGCAACATTCACAGTTGTGTCTGACAGACAAGAGTTCTTTCTCCCACCCTGGACATTCCACAGATATATAAACCCTACTTGCTTAGGCTCCAACAGACCTCACAACTTCTGAGGATATCTGCCATAGATGTGGGTGAAACGTCAGGAGAGAATGCTTCTGGAACATGGCCATTCATCCTGGAAAACTCACAGCAACCCAACATATCTATTTTATTTATTGGGAATTTTCCAGCATTCCATGGAGGGGATCATTGGACCCCCTTTAATTTCTTTTTAAAACTTTATTGTCTACTCCTACTCTTCAGACAGAGGCAGTAGTTCCAACCATTTATCGTCTTCTCGATTCTGGCCCATCTTTTTGAATGAACAAGATTTAAATCAGGGAGGAGGGAGCAAACTTGTTTTCTGCTTCCCTGGAGACTAGGACGCGGAACAATGGCTTCAAACTACAAGAAAGGAGATTCCATCTGAACATGAGGAAGAACTTCCTGACTGTGAGAGCTGTTCAGCAGTGGAACTCTCTGCCCCGGAGTGTGGTGGAGGCTCCTTCTTTGGAAGCTTTTAAACAGAGGCTGGATGGCCATCTGTCAGGGGTGCTTTGAATGCAATATTCCTGCTTCTTGGCAGGGGGTTGGACTGGATGGCCCATGAGGTCTCTTCCAACTCTTTGATTCTATGATTCTATCTATCTTGTTAACTGACAGGCCACAAAATAACTCTGTAAACTAGGGGCTCCCATCCTCTATTTCCTTCTGAGGAATAAAATACTGAAATGGTGATTCTGCTTTTGCTTGTCCCTTTCCACTAAGCCAAAGTGAATGCTATCCAAAATCGGTCATGTTGTTGCTACCGAATCATGTATATGGCCCACAAGGTTTCTTCCAACTCTATGATTCTATATTTCACAGTTTCTCCTATGTGCTGTTCCTCATTCTGGCTAGCAAAACGAGGATAACTCCCAATGAATGGCTAAATTATTTGCTGCCCTTTAATGACATCCCAAGACCTGCTACCTGAGGTATCAGAAAGGGCTCTGTCTGATGGTTGGGTTGCCCTGGGAGTTATCAAAGAGTTATTCCTTCCTCTTCTCTTTCCTTGAGATCTTTGTGGAAGATCTGGCATGGGAACAGGAGCTTCAAATGCTAAGACAGACTGAGCATGTCCGACTGAGCATACCTCATCCAAAATGTTTTGTATTTTGGATTTTTCTGATTTTGGAATACCTGCATATGTATGAGATATCTTGGATAGGGGCCCAAGTCTAAACATGGAATATATTGATATTTCATATACAACTTGTACACAGTATTTTCAATAATTTTGTAACAGAGCCAAATATATTTACATTGAACCATCAGAAAGCCATGTGGACTATTTTGGAGTATTTCCAGTTTTGGAATTCCAGTTAAGGGATGCTCAACCTGTAATCAGAGCTTTGATTACTTCTAGTGCAGAACATACTGGTGCCATATTTCATCATACCAGACAAGTTTATTTATTTATTTATACCCCACCCTTCTCAACCCCTGAGGGGAGACTCAGAGCGGCTAACACTGGCAGCAATTCGATGCTGCAAATCACAATATAACAACAATATAAAACCATAAATACATAATAGATTAAAAACTATTACATTAGTTATACAATCATATAGCTGTTTCTATTATTATAACAATCATATGGTCCAGTTCAGTGTCCAAAGTGCTTTTATACCTGCTACCCAAAGGCCTGGTTCCAAAACAACAATTTCAGTTCAAAGACAGGCAACACAACACATTGGCACCTACCTCCTTGATGTCATGGTACTGGCCCAGCAGCGCATACGGGCAGTAGGAGATGCTCATAGAGACTATTCCCATCGTGCTGATCATTATCATGGCGATATAGACATTAGGGAACATGGCCATCACCGCCGTTCCGATGGAGAATCCCAGCGTGCCCAGGATGTAGATTATTTTGATGCTAAGGTCGTAGTTGTCTAAGTACTTCTGTAATAAGGCTGCAAAAAATAAAGAGAGCGAAGTAGGATTATGGTACAGAAATGATCCATGCTCATGATGTATAAAGCTTTCTGCTGTGCCCCACACACTACATATTAGAATTATAGAATCATAGAGTTGGAGTTGGAAGAGACCTCATGGGCCATCCAGTCCAACCCCATTCTGGCAAGAAGCAGGAAAACTGCATTCAAAGCACCCCTGACAGATGGCCATCCAGCCTCTGTTTAAAGAAGGAGCCTCCACCACACTCCAGGGCAGAAAGTTCCACTGCTGAACAGCTCTCACAGTCAGGAAGTTCTTCCTAATGTTCAGATGGAATCTCCTTTCTTGTAGTTTGAAGCCATTGTTCCGCGTCCTAGTCTCCAGGGCAGCAGAAAACAAGCTTGCTCCCTCCTCCCTATGATTTCCTCTCACATATTTATACATGGCTATCATGTCTCCTCTCAGCCTTCTCTTCTTCAGGCTAAACATGCCCAGCTCTTTAAGCCGCTCCTCATAGGGCTTGTTCTCCAGACCCTTGATCATTTTAGTCGCCCTCCTCTGGACACATTCCAGCTTGTCAATATCTCCTTCAATTGTGGTGCCCAGAATTGGACACAATATTCCAGGTGTGGTCTAACCAAGGCAGAATAGAGGGGTAGCATGACTTCCCTGGATCTAGACACTAGACTCCTATTGATGCAGGCCAAAATCCCATTGGCTTTTTTTGCCGCCACATTGTTGGCTCATGTTTAACTTGTCGTCCACGAGGAACTCCAAGATATTTTTCACACGTACTGCTCTCGAGCCACGCGTCCCCCATTCTGTATCTTTGCATTTCATTTTTTCTTCCTGAGTGGAGTATCTTATAATTGTCCCTGATAAACTTTGGCCCATTTATCTAATCTGTCAAGATTGTTTTGAATCCTGCTCCTGTCTTCTGGAGTATTAATAGTTGATTTTATATTGTTGTGTCGTTTATTATATTGGTTCTCCATTTTATGTATTTTATTTTCTGGTTTTGTTATGCTTTTGCGTTATATTATGTGTATTGTACTGATGGGCATGGTCTCATATAAGCCGCACTGAGTCCCCCTGGGGGAGATGGAGCGGGGTATAAATTAAGTATTATTATTATTATTATTATTATTGGCTGTCATCTGCAAACTTGATGATCATGCCTTCTAACCCTATTAGATTGATATTAGATTGCCTGTCCACCATTACGTGCCAATTCCTCCCCGTTGCCACCATCCGTCCTGTGTTTCACGAAAACATTGCATACACCTCCACACAGACGTCATGACCCATGCCATGCTGTAAAAGGCCAGCCCCGAGGGTGCTGCACAAGAGTGACAGTGACAAGAAGATCTTTGAGAATTCCAGTTTTTTGAGAATTCCAGGAACGCAGACGGCCTATTTGAAAAGTTATACTGAGGAGGGTGCAAGATATGGATCCAAACATTTAAAACATTAGGAAGAACTTTGTGATGGTAAGAGCTGTGTGACTGTGGTATATGCTGCTGCACCTCAGAGTCTGGTGGAGTCTCCTTCTCTTGAGTTGTTTAAACTGTGGCTGGATGGGTGTCTGTTAAGAATGCTTGTATTGTGGATTCCTGCATGGCAGAAGGGAGTTGGACTGGATGGCTCTGGGAGTTTCTTCCAACTCTATAATTCTAAGAGAGCGAGAGCTCCCTGGCAGAACAAATGCTTTGCAGGTCCTTGCACTCTTCGATCTGACCACCTGGATTTCCATCTCTTCCTTCATTAGCCTCTCGCTCACACCCTGTCCCTATTCCCCTCTCCAAACCCAGATCCAGGCCTTCCTTCCCCCGGCTGGCACAGTGCCTCTTACCTGAACACACAGCAGCAGTAGCAGCGTAAATGACCAGTCCCCAGCAGCCCATCTGAACACCAGCGTTGTAGGCAAACAGTTCGGTAGAATTGGAGGGAGCCTGTAGGAGAACCAGGGAAGATTATTCAACGGCAGACAATCCTACAGAATATACAGGAATACACAGTTGCTTAAACACACAGTCATAATTTCCCTTTTATTTGTTTTTCTAGATCAGGCATGGGCAAACTTCGGCCTTCCAGGTGCTCAACTCCCACAATTCCCAACAGCCAGTAAATTTATTTATTTATTTACAGTATTTATATTCCGTCCTTCTCACCCTGAAGGGGACTCAAGAGCGAATAACAGAACACATATATGGCAAACATTCAATGCCGCTATATACTGACAAGACAGATAACTGTACACAGATAGAGGTATATATAAGCTTTCCTATCTTCTGCATCTTGGAGGTTGTGCTTGGTTCCAGCCACAGGGAGGTGCTGTAGCTCCAATTTCCCTGCCAAAGAGCTTTGTTTGTAAACTTTCTCCTTGATCCAATCGCTGGCAATTTTCTGGCATATCCTTATGGGTGCCTGAAATACCTCCTCGCTTAAGCGGCACCTATTTATTTATTTACTTATTATTATTCAAACTTATATGCCGCCACTCCCCTGGGGCTTGGAGCGGCTTACAAGAATGGCTAAAATCTAACACAATTTAAAAACAATTTAAAACAATTTAAAAACAGCAATATCAAAAATCAAAGGCCTGTCAAAACAGGTATGTCTTACAAGCCCTGCGGAAAGCTGATAAGTCCCGCAAGGCACGGTGGCAGAGTATTCCAGAGTGATGGTGCCACTGCTGTAAAGGTTCTGCGTCTGGTTGCTGTTAGACGCAAGGTCTTGACACTGGGAATTTCCAATACATCTTGGTCCTCAGAATGGAGGGATCTCTGGGGCTGGTAAGGGGTGAGATGGTCCCTCAGGTACATCGGCCCCAGACCATGCAAGGCCTTATCTACTCACATAGCTGTTTTTGAAACTGCTAGGTAGGCAGAAGCTACGCTAAAGGCCTGGAGCTCACCATGACCCAGGCTTGAACTGTCAACATTTTGGTTGGCAAGATTTCCTGCAGCTGGCAGTTAATCTGCTGTGCTAAAGCCCGGCCCTGGAGGGTCGAAGTTTGCCCATGTCTGATCTAGCTTATTTAAAAATTGGATTTAAAAGGAAAAATGTCGTTGACCTATTTCATAAGAACGCTAATTCCACCCAAGATTTATTCCTCCTGATACTTTATTTTCCAAAAGCTGTACTGGCAGGAAAGGTATGCAAAGCAAATCCAACTGGTCATTTTGTAGACCTGTTCACAAACAAGGACTTCTGCTTGCCTCTCCTCAGCCATCTCCCTACCCATCTTCATTGGTTTCTATATCTAAACACCACACACACCCCAAGGGAAACAAACAGAAAACAAAGGACACAGTGACAAAGAAGGGGTCCATTTAATCCCTGTTTTGTGCACACGTAAAGATAAACACATTTGCTACTGGCAGCAGAAATGTCCTCACTCACCTTGGGGTCACCGTGAAAGATGACCTGCCCCATGAAGTCAGTATAGAACACGGCTTCGGCAATGATGGAAAACCACGTTAGGAGGTGGCAGACGCACAGCCGCAGCAGCTCCTTGGGCATTTTCAGCATGGAGAGCCACAGGAGCCGGACGGTGGTCTCCGTCTCCCCCTCCTCGCTCTCCGTGTCCCCGCTGGAGTTGGTGGCCCCGCTCTGGTTCCTGTGCCGGTACCTCTGCCGCTGCCTCTTCTGCATGTCGTAAATGTCATTCATGCTGCGAGAGGACTTGATCAAGACCACAGCATTGGCCCGTCGGAAACGGTAACGGTGGGAGCCGATCTTGCCGTAATAGGAGAAGGTGTGAGAGGGCTGGCGGTAGAACATGTGCCGCCGCCTGCGCATGGAGTTGGAAGTGCTTGATTGCTTCATGCCGATCCTAGCGTGCCCATTCAGAAGATCTTTTGGTAGGGAGCCATTGGCATTGGGGACTTTGGCTTCATTCAAGTGATTATCAAGTAACATCTCCTCCTCTTTCTCGTTTTCCCTGAGGAACGCAGACAGGCGGTTGAATTTGGACTTCATGAGTTCCTGGCTGGTGCTGTGTGGGGTGTTTGGGTATGAAGAATCCTGAAAGATGGAAGGCTCGATGTCATGGAGGAAAAGCAGCTCGGATTCCATTTCGAGGGTGGCGTCGGCCATATGCAAGACCGAGTCGCTCTTGCTCCGCACAATGTCCACCTCGAGGAAGTCCATGTTGAGGTCATGCTCTGACTGGACCTCGTCTGGGAACATGGCGTTCCCATAAGGGTCTTCCTCGCTGATGATGTTCAGCCGGTTCAGAGGCGGGAGGCTACCACCGCTCAGCTTGACACTCGACAGGGTGTCCGCTTCGTCATCAATCCTGTCCTGCTGTGGGTTGTACTGCTCTTCTTCAATGCTGCAAAGGTGGAGGACAACTGAGACGGAGAAAATGATGGCAGCAAAGAAGAAGAGCACTTGCTCTTGGGATATGAAGATGGACCCCAGGAAAGTCTGCATCCAGTCCAGGCCCCCCAGCATATAGCCAATGGCTCCTCCGAGACCTAAAGAATGGAAAGAAGGCGCCATAAACTTGCATTTTTGTGACAAGGCTTAAAAATACAGAATACCGGTTTGGTAACCATACAAAACTGGGGCAAGAGGAAGAAATATGGGCTGAATATGGAGAAGCTTATGATTCTTGAACTTGATGTTCACTGTGCCAAATAAACTGAGGCATGCTCTATGCTGCTCAATACCACTTCAGGTTCTTTTTTGCACTACCATGAAATAACAACACATAGAGAACCCTGACCACAACTAATCTTGATGCATTTTTCTCATTTGTTTAAGATCCATTACCTAAAGCAGTGGTTCCCAACCTTTGGGCCTCCAGGTGTTTTGCACTTCAACTCCCAGAATTCCAGCCAGCTTACCAGCTGTTAGGAACTGTGGGAGCTGGAGTCCAAAACATCTGGAGGCCCAAAGATTGGGAATCACTGATCTAAAGACTGACTGATTCAACAGCACCCAGTAAGCTTCATGGCTAAGGAGGATTTAAGAATAGCCATTTTAAAAATGGAATATGCTGCTGTCTTTTTATTTATTTATTTGCCATACTTGTAACCCGTCCTTCTCTACCCCAACATTTCAAAAATTGCAAAATATTAAATAGAGTTAAAACAGCTTTAAAAAGTTAAAAACTTAGAAAACATGCTATCCAAGTTCATGGTCTGAGTCCATTCCAAGGTCAGTTGCACAAGGTTTCGATTCAAAAATACTGCATTGTCTTAGTTTCCAAATGCCTGCTCACAGAGCCAGGTTTTGACTTTTTTTCTAAAGGCTAGTAGGGAAGGAGCTGCTCTGATGTCGCTAGGGAAGGAGTTCCATAACCAAGGAGCCACCACTGAGAAGGCCCTGTCTCTCGTCCCCGCCAGATGCTGGATGGGCATAATTTAGGAGTGGTTGGGTTGTGTTTTCATGCATTGCAGAATGGGGTTGATTTCCTTCAGTTCTGAGATTTCTGGCATAACTCAATAAAGAACTAAGACAAGTTACTTGTTGGGATTACAACTTCCACAAGCCTGATGAGAACGTATCTCATAAAAAGCAATCTGACTGCTGTCTGGTCTGCTGTCATTTGTCACATGGGCACGCAGTGATCTAATTCAGCCATAGTTTCTAATTAGCGCAATGATTGTTCCCAAACCACAGCTTTCTGAGATGGTGGTTGCAAAGAGTCTAGAGCTGATTTTAATGGCTTCTCTGAATCGCATGCCCTCGAGAGTTGTATTTCCCTTCAAAGCCGAGAGCTCCTGAGGACAATTCACAGCTTGGTTGCACTTGAGTAAATTCTATAGCCTTCTGCTAGAAGCCAGATGCTGATGTTTCAAGAGTCTGAGCTTATGGAGACACGGGTAGCGCATTATCCCAGATTTGTACTGCTGACCTAACCACAAGTCTCCAATTTGGGATATTTTGCTCTCGTCTTATTTCCAAGAATTCCAGCTCCTCGGCCACCACCAATAATAATCCCACAACTGTTTTCAATTTTTGAACTGGGGAAATTTATTTATTTATTTATTACAGTGTACACATATATGGCAAACATTCAATGCCAATTTTGACATACAACATATATAGACATACACAGAGGCTATTTAACCTTTCTGGCCACCAGGGGAGCTGTTGCTTTCATCGTCCATCTGCGACACTGATGAAGTACTTCCGCATTCCCCCCATGCTTTTTTGGTGGAGTGCTTTGCTGGAGTCTTTTTTATGGCCCCATAAATTAGTTAATTTAGCCTCCCTACACTTTAAGGTGGTACCTAATTTTCCTACTTGACAGATGCAACTGTCTTTCGGGTTGCAAAGGTCGACAACAGGCTACACAATTGGTTGGAAACCCACTCCAACCCGGGCTGGCTTTGAACTCATGAACTTTTGGTCAGAGTGATCTTCATGTAGCTGACACTCAGCCAGCTGCGCCACAATCCCAGTGCAGATAGGATGATGATAACAATATCAACAATTGCAAGTCCACAGTTAATTGAGCTGCTACAAGCTTCAGGAATTGAATGTTGCTGATTTTTTAAACTCAGTCATGAATTTCAGGTTCAGCAAGACTACTGATACAGCCTATAAACAAATCAATGGAGCCGGATGTATGAAGTCTCAGTGGGTCATTTCAGGCATCACGCTAAACCATGGTTTGTGGCTAACCATGGCTTAAAATCAAAACTGTGGGTTGAGCATCTAATCAATCACTTAGAGCTAGATGTCCCTTGAAGTCCCTTCCAAATGTATCATTCTAGTTTATTTTCAAAAAGGGGTAAAGGGAAAGGCATACCTGCTGAGAAAGCGTGGATATTGAGCGCCATGTCCTGCTCCTCGCTGTCCACCACGTCCAGCAAATAGGCCCGGATCGGCCCCTCCGTGGCATCGGCGCAGAAATCCAAGACCACGACGCCCAGCACAGTGAGGACGATGCCAATGGGCTGGCGGTCCGGGACATCTCCAATGGCTAGACCTGGCAGAGAAGAAGTGTCGTCGATATGGTGGTGAGGCTTTTAATTTGAAAAGGAGAAACTCAATACCCAAAGCAATATACCACTTAAATATTCTTAACCTGGCTGATGGAAGCCTCCCTTTCATTCAGTCAGTCTGACTGGCCATTTCATGGGGCTATGAAACTCTTAAGAGCTCTTTGCAAGCAAGTGCTTCTGGCCTAAAGGAACAGGCTTTGGCCTGTTTTCTGTCTTGCAGAGTATTCACAGCCACCTCTTTGCTCCTTCTTTAGACAGATGTTGAAAGAGGTTATGGTCAGTCAAGGTAAGGTGCGGTTCACAAAGGATTACACAACTTATGAAAACACACTTTGCTAAGAAAAAAAAACCCAAACACACAGGATAGAGGCGGAAGTACTGAATTTTTCCTGGCTGCAATCACATGCCAGAGCATTCAACTTGTCCTCAAAAACAGGTTCTGGGAGTTGTCGTTGAGCATTTGCAAAGATCACTTTAACTAGCTCTTGACGTTTCTTGTGCCTGCGTGCCATCAAGTCATATGTTTCACTTATGGGAACCCTAAGGGCCTTCTTGCACAGATTTGTTCAGAGGGAGTTTGCCTTTGCCATCCTCTGAGGTTGAGAGTGTGCCTTGCCAACCTTGTATTTCCTTGGCTGAATAGGGTTTCAAACCTTGGCCTTTCCCCTGGGTTCTAGATGGTTCTACACTGTAGAACAAATGCAGTTTGACCCCACTTGAATTGTTACAGTTCAGTACTATGGAATCCTGGGATTTGTAGTTTACTGACTCTCTGGCAGAGAAGGCTAAAGACTTTGTAAACGTACAACTCCCACATGTTGTTGAAGGCTTTCACGGCTGGAATCACTGGGCTGCTGTGAGTTTTCTGGGCTGTATGGCCATGTTCCAGAAGCATTCTTTGCTATGGCTCAATTCTGATTCCATAGTATTGAGCCATGGCAGTTAAAGTGATGTCAAACGACATTAAATTCTATGGTGTAGATCCAGTCCTAGCATTTCTTACATTTGCATTTCTTTGTTTGCCCCTTTCTTGCAGATGCTTAAGCTGTATTCCTAAATGCTGAACTGATTTTTCATTTTCCTATAATGCTAGAAATTAGGGTATTGAAGGAGATAAAGCGCAGAAATCTTATTTGGGGCATAATGCCCACTTTCTGCCCCTTCTGGAGCATCTTCCCTCACTCCTTTATGACCTTCGGACACTTAATATTTTCCCCTGGAAACTCCTCCCCATCAGAGCTGCTGCATTCCCCAGCCTGGCAACGGCACAGAAAGGCGTCCTTCTCCAAGCGAGACGTTGCTATGGAACTCCTCTCAGGTTGAGTTCCCAAAGATGGTGAGTTCCCAGCTTCAATGGTTTCCTTACAATATTGTTCCAACAGCTTTGATGGGGATAAGGAAAACGTTATTCTTTCCCCTTTTAGTCACTTGATAAACAATTTTCTTTTATATCGTGCCATTATCTTTCCCCTGCTCGTTCGTTAGGTCACCCTCTAAGAACGGAACAAGAAAAAGTGAAAAGGGTTTCTTTCTTTCTTTCTTTTGGTCCCCTTTCAAATAATGCTGGAAACAGGATGTGTTTGCCAGATATGCATTAAAGGGAAATCAGAGCACAACAGGAAACATTTCCCTGTGAACAGGTTCCTACAGTTTTCCCATGCCAAGGGCCGGCTGCATTCGTTTAGGCGCCTGCTGATATTCTGCTGGCAAATGAGGCCCACCAAGGCTGCGAGGAATGTGGCAGTGGCTCCGAATCAGAAAAAAAGCAATACAGGTGTGTGTGTGTGGGTGGTTTCAGCTATTGGTGGCTTCAGGGCTACCTAAGGAGGGACTGAAGGGGCCAACTATTTAACATACATGTTTAAGAAAGATGTCTCTCTTGCAAATTATGGTGCAAAACACTATGTCACTATCCCTCAGTCTAATCTAGTTCTGGGACACTGTACAGTTCTGAGTGAAGAATTAAATTGGGTTGTTGTAGTTTTTTCGGGCTATATGGCCATGGTCTAGACGTTTCGCCTGCATCTATGGCAAGCATCCTCAGAGGTAGAGACCTCACTACCTCTGTGGATGCTTGCCATAGATGCAGGCGAAACGTCAGGAGAGAATGCCTCTAGATCATGGCCATATAGCCCGAAAAAACTACAACAACCCAGTGATTCCGGCCATGAAAGCCTTCGACAATACAAAGAATTAAATTTCTTAACATACACACACACACACACACACACATGTAAATATATATAATATCCTGTCGTACTTTCCACCAACAAAAGGCAACCCACACTGCTCTTCCACTGCAGTTTACCCTGTTAAATACAGACTGAGTATCCCTTATTGATTTACTCTATTTATATACTGCTTTTCTCAGCCCTCGGTGATTCAAAGTGGTTTACAGTAGCAAAGATTTAATGCTCAAAAATCATAAAATAATTAAAACAATTAAAAACAATGGCATAAATATTCGATCAATTACAAAGTCAATAAAACATAACTCATTAGCATCTCTTACTTAAAATCAAAATCCAATGTCATCATCCAGTTGTTCCATGTTCCTATATATGTTACACTGCCTTTTCGAACGCCTGCTCGAACAACCAGGTCTTAATTTTCCTACAAAATGCTAACAAAGAAGGGGCCAATCTAATGTCACTAGCAATGGTGTTCCATAGCCGAGGGACCATTACTGAGAAGGCCCTGTCTCTCGTCCCTGCCAAACATATTTGTGACACAGGTGGGATCGAGAGCAGGGCCACCCCAGAAGATCTTAACGTCCTTATCCCAGTGGTTCCCAACCTTTGGTCCTCCAGGTGTTCTGGACTTCCAGAAATACCACCCATTTTGCCAGCTATCAATAATTGTGGGAGTTGAAGTCCAAAACACCTGGAGGACCAAAGGTTGGGAACCACTGCCTTATCCAAAATGCTTGGGACCAGAGGTGTTCTATATTTTACATTTTTTAATTTTGTTTAGAAATAGTTGCATATACTTAATGAGAAACCTTGGAGATGGGACACAGGTCTAAACATGAAATCCATGTATATGTCAATATAAACTTACACACAGCTTATACACATAGCATGATGGCAATCTGACTCAAAGAAATGTGTGTATAGGCAAATTCAGGTATTCCAAAGCCTGAAAAAAAAATCCAAAACACTTCTGGCTCCAAGCATTTGAGATAAAGGATATGCAACCTGTATCTTCAAATAAGGGCTTGCTTCCAAATCTGCAATTCTATGAAAGTAATCCAGACATACCTATAACAGAGCCATTTAAGAAAAGGGCGACTCCAAAGAGGACTCCGATGCAAAGGGCAAGAATAAAAGGCCGCCGGCGGCCCCAGCTAAGTGTGCAGCGGTCGCTTGCTGAACCTATTAAAGGAGTGAAGATGAGGCCCAGAATTGGACTAAGGAACCATGTGAGGCTGTAGTACTGTTCGGGAAGACCTAAAAGAGAGACGGTAACATAGAGTTAGGAGAAAGCAACAGTGTTGAGGCAAGCAAATATCCCCAACTCTAAGATATGGTTTGCCCAAAGTTACTAAAGGGGTATTAAAACATAGAATCCCATCAGGAACGGATATAGAAATCCTGGTGCTTTGGGGACAAAAGTAATAGGCAATATGCAAAAGAGGCCCACAGAAAAACCCCTTAAACGGAGGAGTATTTGGCAGGTGCTGCCTGTGGGCACTTGAAAACATCTCTACCATGAGAGAAATCTGCTGTTTTTCATCACACAAAACGTGGAAACAAATTAGGTTGTTAGGACAACGTGGATCAACTTTGGTTTAACAAAGAGGCTGGAATGATCTGTGGTGTTTACTAGCAATTGTATTTTTTCAAGGTTGTGCAGCGGCAAGAAAAGGAAGCAGACACCCAAGCAGCCTGCTTCTTCAACCTCTACCTTTTCTTCTTCTTGTCTTTCCCCCAGTTTGGGACTCAAGACGGCGTACGAGTAAAACATTACCGTTGAAAGGACATTAACAAACAGAGACCACCGTGCTTTATACAAAGCTTTATACAAAGCCCTCTTCCATGATCCCACCCGATACACCTGTGAGGAAGGTGGGATGGAGAGAAAAGCCTCCTCAGAAGACCTCCAATAACTTGGCGCCCATCCCAGGAGAAAGGAACGGTATACATTCCATCAGCCCATCAATTGAGATGATACAGTTCATTAGATAAACTGGACATGAGACATACAGGGCGTTAAGTGTCATAACAAGAACTTTTGTCATCCATACTGAGCCTATAGCCTTTTCTCCTATGGTCACGATCGTATAATATATGAACGATTTAGCAGTGGAATAAACTTGCCTCAGAGAATGGTGGTTTCAACTTTTTTTGAAGTCCTTAAATCGATAGGACTCATTCAGGGTTGATTTAAGTGCATGACAAAGGGCTGGACTAGATATCACTGGGAATACTGTGTCCAACCACAATTCCAGGAAGTGGACAAGCTAGAAAGAGTGACTAGAATGGTCAAAGGTGTCAAAACCATGAGTTCCTACAAGGAGCTGGGCATGTATAGCCTGGATTGTATATTCCTTCATGGAAGAAGTGGATTGGACTGGATGATCCTTGGGACTTCTTCCAGTTGTATTATTCTATGATTCTAAGAGCTGGCCTTTATAATAATAAATAATAAAACTTTATTTATACCCCGCACCATCTCCCCAAGGGACTCGGAGCAGCTTACATGAGGCCAAGCCCAACCGTACATTAATAAACAAAAGCAATAAACAAAAACAATAAATACAATACAATTAATATAAATCACATATAAACAATAGCCAATAAACAGTAATACACAAGGATTTAAAAACCTATGGCCGGGCCAGATGTAAGTTTAAAAATTAAAAAATAAACGCTGGGCATGAACAAGGTAGGATATAACTGGTATAGGGTTTTTAAAGAGAGATGAGGGAACACAGTCAATCCTAAATCAATGTTATAGTGCATTTTGAGGGCATATTGCTGAGAGTTTTCCTTATTTTGGGAGGACACACTGGAACAACCATGTTTTCAGGCTCCTCCTAAAGACTGCCAGAGTTGGGGCATGTCTGATGTCCCTGGGAAGTGAGTTCCAGAGTCGGGGGACCACCACCGAGAAGGCCCTCTCCCTCGTCCCCACTAATCGCGCCTGCGAAGGAGGTGGGAGCGTGAGCAGGGCCTCTCCAGATGATTGAAGAGATCGTGTGGGTCATGCAGATAGGTGTGAGATCGTGTGGGCCATGCAGATAGGTGGGTCATGCAGACAGACATGCGGTCATGCAGATAGGCGGGTCCCAAACCGTTCAGGGCTTTGTACCCCTTCCACCTCTAATATTCCATGAACAGACTGATTTCATGCATTTCTAAATATGTAACACATAAAAAGAAGCAAGCAGTGCACTGCCTTGGAGTGTAGTGACGTCTCCTTCCTTAGAGGCTTTTAAACAGAGGTTGGATGGCCATCTGTCAAAGGTGCTTTGATTGTGCTTTTCCTGCATAGCAGGGGTTGGACTGGATGGCTTGTGTGGTCCATCTGATTCTATGATATGATTTGATTCTATTCGTTCTTCTCTATACTGAACTCCTAGCCTATGAGGATCTGGAGGAACTGGACCAAATTTAATCTGGCCCTCACTATGTGGAGTAGCAGATCTGTTACCAGACGAATGGGTCAAACTATAGCCAGATTATCTATATGATCTGTCTGATTATCTGTAACATAACCACACATACAAGGTTGGAATCTGGTACAGTTCCCAAGGAAACTTCTCCAGGGATTTCTCAGTGCTCCAGTAAAGGGACAGGCTGTGCTATAGGACCTTTGACATTAAAATATGGAGCTCTGCAGCCAAAGGGTATTGATCAAACCAATTCCCAGAAGTATGTGTGCTGCCAAGGATATGTAGCTGGTTGCATAGCTCTACTTTTCTTTTCTGACTCGGGGTGGGTGAGATAAACACATTTTTATTGTTAGGATGATGGAAATAATGGCTAGAAAAACATTTATTGTGTGCAATAGCAACTTATAGCCTGAAGATGGTGCCACTGGCAGAGTAATTGTCCTGAAACAAACATGAAAACAGAGGGGGACAGCCCTGTCCAGCCCTCCACTCCTAATTCACCACTTTGAATCATCTGCAAGGCCCCAATGATCAATCAAGCCACAAACATAAATCTTCAATATACCCATGGAGGCAAAAACATCTACTTTACGAAGGTATCTTTCAGGAAATTTGCGACTGGATTGATCCACATGCAATTGCAGCTTCTCCTTTGCATTTGGCATTGAGATTACGCAATCCTTGTCTGAGATCATTTCGGCAGCGGTCCAGGAGGGCTAGTATTTAAAGTACAGACAAACCTAATCCTCTTCTAGATATACTCTCTGAGAAAATTAGCTGGCTTTTCCAAGATCTCTTGTAGCGGTTTTACTAACACATTTATATGCAGCTCTAAGGGCACCCAGCAGAACAACCAAATTATATAAACAGGGACCAGTATCTGTACAGTCAGGCCTCCACACTGACTGGGATTAAGGGTACAGGACCCCTAGGACAGTAGTTAAAAAAAAAAACCAACGAATTACAATCCCCACTAGTTTTTCCCGGAGATAACAACTCTATGAATCTTATGGCCTCCAGTGTAATTCTATGGACAACTTTCACTGAAAGACCTCCTAAAACACGCAAATAATCAAATCGCAAAAGTGAAACCCTCAAATGTGAAAGACCAATTGTAATTTCATTTATGCATATATGACAAAGCATGTACTCTTTAGGTATTTTCTAGGTCCTCTAGGGCAAATCTATGGTATGTTTGATCATCCAGAACTTTTTCATTTCAACAGAGTTTACTATTATCCTGTTAGTTTACAAATCCACACAAACTCTAGGAACGTGCCCATCGCAGATACAAGGAGCGAATATCTAACTTTGGGTGGATTTTGAGAAGTGTCAACTTGCACTTACATTAGAACTGTAGATGTAGAATGGCTCGAAATGGTCTATGTAAGGGCTCTTCTTAATTTAATCATCACCTTTCCTCAATCCCTTTCCTTTAAATTTTAATTAAAGTTTATTAATTTTAATCTGTGTTTCATCTGTATAAACTTTTATCAGCCAAGGAATAATCTCTTACGTGTCAGAGAGCAGAATTACTCTTCATGCTGACCCAGGAAGGATCAAAGGCAGAAGCTGGTCCAGAGTTCTCAGAGGGTGACCAAAACCAGAATTAGGAAGAAAAGAATGGACATGACAAGCAGCCCCTGTGGAAGGTATCGGTAACTTCCAGTTCTTCTGTAAACTGATGTACAGCTGTATCCACTGAACTACAACTTTGGAAACCAGGGTTCAAGTCCCTGCTTAGCTATGGAGACCCACTCGGTGACTTTCAGCGCTCGCTCTCTTAGATGCAGAGGTCAACCCACTCTGAACAAATCTTACCAAGAAAACACTGTAAAAAAGCTTTGCCTCAGAGTTGCCATGAGTCATATATTACTTCAAGACACACAACAACTACTACATAAACAAGAGTACTGTATAATGCTAAGGACAAACGTAGTGCCACTCTGTATTGTCGAAGGCTTTCATGGCCAGAATCACTGGGTTGTTGTAGGTTTTTCGGGTTGTATGGCCATGTTCTAGATGCATGGAAAGTTGGGTTTATATATCTATATAAACCAGATATATAAACCCAGCTTTCCAGTTTCCAACAAACCTCACAACCTCTGAGGATGCTTGCCACAGGAGAGAAACGTCAGGAGAGAACGCATCTAGAACATGGTCATACAACCTGAAAAACCTACAACAACCCAGTAGTGACACTCTGTTCTGCTTGGGTTAACCTTCTCCTGGAATACTGTGATCACTTCTAGCCAATACTGTTCAAGGATATCAACAAGTTGGAACATGTCCCAAGAAGGATGACCACGATGACCAAGTTCTGGAAACCAAGCCTCATGAGGAATGACTTAGTGAGCTGGGTTTGTTTAGCTTGGAGAAGTCTGAGAGTCAACATGATTTGTTGGGGTATATCTTCAAAATGATTTCCAGTTTATGCTGACCTTATCATGGAGAAGCATTGGCAATATTTGTTCAAAGTGGTGCTTGCCTTCCACTGAGACTGAAAATATGTTACTTGCATGTGAAATCACCCAATGAGCCTCCATGGCTCATGTCAACTTAAAAAAATTGAAGGGATGTCATGTAAAAAGATGGAACAGCCTTGTTTTCTACTGAGACAAAAATACAAACTATTGTTTCTTCCAAGAGAGAAAGGAGCAATGCCACTCTCCCTGAGAGGAGCCAACCTGAATAGTCCTGTCTGAGCAAATGTCCCATAGGCTTTTTGTGTGTGTCCTTATCTACATGGGAAGGAAATGATCAACACAATAAAGAGGTTGCAGCAGGTTCTGGAAATCCAACTGATGAGAAACAACATTGGGCGTGGGAAAG